TTAAAAAATCCACGTTCATTGTTGGGAAGGTCCTTGAAAAAAATATTCTTTAAAAAATCCACGTTCATTGTTGGGAAGATTCTTGAAAAAAATATTCTTTAAAAAATCCACGTTCATTGTTGGGAAGATTCTTGAAAAAAATATTCTTTAAAAAATCCACGTTCATTGTTGGGAAGGTCCTTGAAAAAATATTCTTTAAAAAATCCACGTTCATTGTTGGGAAGGTCCTTGAAAAAATATTCTTTAAAAAATCGACGTTCATTGTTGGGAAGGTCCTTGAAAAAATATTCTTTAAAAAATCCACGTTCATTGTTGGGAAGATCCTTGAAAAAAATACTCTTTAAAAAATTCACGCTCATTGTTGGGAAGGTCCTTGAAAAAAATATTCTTTAAAAAATCCACGTTCATTGTTGGGAAGATTCTTGAAAAAAATATTCTTTAAAAAATCCACGTTCATTGTTGGGAAGATTCTTGAAAAAAATATTCTTTAAAAAATCCACGTTCATTGTTGGGAAGATTCTTGAAAAAAATATTCTTTAAAAAATCCACGTTCATTGTTGGGAAGATCCTTGAAAAAAATATTCTTTAAAAAATCCACGTTCATTGTAGGGAAGATTCTTGAAAAAAATATTCTTTAAAAAATCCACGTTCATCCATGTTGGGAAGGTCCTTGAAAAAATATTCTTTAAAAAATCCACGTTCATTGTTGGGAAGGTCCTTGAAAAAAATATTCTTTAAAAAATCCACGTTCATTGTTGGGAAGATTCTTGAAAAAAATATTCTTTAAAAAATCCACGTTCATTGTTGGGAAGATTCTTGAAAAAAATATTCTTTAAAAAATCCACGTTCATTGTTGGGAAGATCCTTGAAAAAAATATTCTTTAAAAAATCCACGTTCATTGTAGGGAAGATTCTTGAAAAAAATATTCTTTAAAAAATCCACGTTCATCCATGTTGGGAAGGTCCTTGAAAAAATATTCTTTAAAAAATCCACGTTCATCCATGTTGGGAAGGTCCTTGAAAAAATATTCTTTAAAAAATCCACGTTCATTGTTGGGAAGGTCCTTGAAAAAAATATTCTTTAAAAAATCCACGTTCATTGTTGGGAAGATTCTTGAAAAAAATATTCTTTAAAAAATCCACGTTCATTGTTGGGAAGATTCTTGAAAAAAATATTCTTTAAAAAATCCACGTTCATTGTTGGGAAGATCCTTGAAAAAAATATTCTTTAAAAAATCCACGTTCATCCATGTAGGGAAGGTCCTTGAAAAAAAATTCTTTAAAAAATCCACGTTCATTGTTGGGAAGGTCCTTGAAAAAAATATTCTTTAAAAAATCCACGTTCATTGTTGGGAAGATTCTTGAAAAAAATGTTCTTTAAAAAATCCACGTTCATTGTTGGGAAGATTCTTGAAAAAAATATTCTTTAAAAACTCCCCGTTCATTGTTGGGAAGGCCCTTGAAAAAATATTCTTTAAAAAATCCACGTTCATTGTTGGGAAGGTCCTTGAAAAAATATTCTTTAAAAAATCCACGTTCATTGTTGGGAAGGTCCTTGAAAAAATATTCTTTAAAAAATCCACGTTCATTGTTGGGAAGGTCCTTGAAAAAATATTCTTTAAAAAATCCACGTTCATTGTTGGGAAGGTCCTTGAAAAAATATTCTTTAAAAAATCCACGTTCATTGTTGGGAAGGTCCTTGAAAAAATATTCTTTAAAAAATCCACGTTCATCCAAGTTGGGAAGGTCCTTGAAAAAATATTCTTTAAAAAATCCACGTTCATTGTTGGGAAGGTCCTTGAAAAAAATATTCTTTAAAAAATCCACGTTCATTGTTGGGAAGATTCTTGAAAAAAATATTCTTTAAAAAATCCACGTTCATTGTTGGGAAGGTCCTTGAAAAAAATATTCTTTAAAAAATCCACGTTCATTGTTGGGAAGATTCTTGAAAAAAATATTCTTTAAAAAATCCACGTTCATTGTTGGGAAGATTCTTGAAAAAAATATTCTTTAAAAAATCCACGTTCATTGTTGGGAAGGTCCTTGAAAAAATATTCTTTAAAAAATCCACGTTCATTGTTGGGAAGGTCCTTGAAAAAATATTCTTTAAAAAATCGACGTTCATTGTTGGGAAGGTCCTTGAAAAAATATTCTTTAAAAAATCCACGTTCATTGTTGGGAAGATCCTTGAAAAAAATACTCTTTAAAAAATTCACGCTCATTGTTGGGAAGGTCCTTGAAAAAAATATTCTTTAAAAAATCCACGTTCATTGTTGGGAAGATTCTTGAAAAAAATATTCTTTAAAAAATCCACGTTCATTGTTGGGAAGATTCTTGAAAAAAATATTCTTTAAAAAATCCACGTTCATTGTTGGGAAGATTCTTGAAAAAAATATTCTTTAAAAAATCCACGTTCATTGTTGGGAAGATCCTTGAAAAAAATATTCTTTAAAAAATCCACGTTCATTGTAGGGAAGATTCTTGAAAAAAATATTCTTTAAAAAATCCACGTTCATCCATGTTGGGAAGGTCCTTGAAAAAATATTCTTTAAAAAATCCACGTTCATTGTTGGGAAGGTCCTTGAAAAAAATATTCTTTAAAAAATCCACGTTCATTGTTGGGAAGATTCTTGAAAAAAATATTCTTTAAAAAATCCACGTTCATTGTTGGGAAGATTCTTGAAAAAAATATTCTTTAAAAAATCCACGTTCATTGTTGGGAAGATCCTTGAAAAAAATATTCTTTAAAAAATCCACGTTCATTGTAGGGAAGATTCTTGAAAAAAATATTCTTTAAAAAATCCAAGTTCATCCATGTTGGGAAGGTCCTTGAAAAAATATTCTTTAAAAAATCCACGTTCATTGTTGGGAAGGTCCTTGAAAAAAATATTCTTTAAAAAATCCACGTTCATTGTTGGGAAGATTCTTGAAAAAAATATTCTTTAAAAAATCCACGTTCATTGTTGGGAAGATTCTTGAAAAAAATATTCTTTAAAAAATCCACGTTCATTGTTGGGAAGATCCTTGAAAAAAATATTCTTTAAAAAATCCACGTTCATCCATGTAGGGAAGGTCCTTGAAAAAATATTCTTTAAAAAATCCACGTTCATTGTTGGGAAGGTCCTTGAAAAAAATATTCTTTAAAAAATCCACGTTCATTGTTGGGAAGATTCTTGAAAAAAATGTTCTTTAAAAAATCCACGTTCATTGTTGGGAAGATTCTTGAAAAAAATATTCTTTAAAAACTCCCCGTTCATTGTTGGGAAGGCCCTTGAAAAAATATTCTTTAAAAAATCCACGTTCATTGTTGGGAAGGTCCTTGAAAAAATATTCTTTAAAAAATCCACGTTCATTGTTGGGAAGGTCCTTGAAAAAATATTCTTTAAAAAATCCACGTTCATTGTTGGGAAGGTCCTTGAAAAAATATTCTTTAAAAAATCCACGTTCATTGTTGGGAAGGTCCTTGAAAAAATATTCTTTAAAAAATCCACGTTCATCCAAGTTGGGAAGGTCCTTGAAAAAAATATTCTTTAAAAAATCCACGTTCATCCAAGTTGGGAAGGTCCTTGAAAAAGTATTCTGTAAAAAATCCACGTTCATCCAAGTTGGGAGGGTCCTTGAAAAAATATTCTTTAAAAAATTCACGTTCATTGTTGGGAAGGTCCTTGAAAAAATATTCTTTAAAAAATCCACGTTCATTGTTGGGAAGGTCCTTGAAAAAATATTCAAAATACAATAGGACTCTTTTATCACATTTTATGAGAGTTGTTATTATTCAAAATTCTGACCATTTGTGGGGGAGGTATTTGATATAGTGCACCGATATTGTCCATTTTCACACCTTACCTAGAACTGACGCAAATATTAGGATGTGCAAAGTTGGAGCAAAATCGGATTATCATTTCTCTTTCTGTGCGAAAAATATATTTTTTGAAAATTTCGAACTTTTGCTGGGGAGGTACCAGAAGGAGTGGGCCGATATTGCCCATCTCCAAACTAAGTTTGACAAAAATATTGCGATATACCAAGTTTGGATCAAATCGGATACTCCCTTCGAGAGTTATCGTGCACACCATCCAGACAGACGGACAGACGGACATCGCTGGATCGACTCCAAATGCTCTGAAACGGATTTGGTGCAAAGAGACCTAGAACCGTTATTTCGACTAGGCACGTTTTAATTCGTTTTTCCTCGGAACAATCAATAATAAATCAAAATATTTTGTGCCCTCACAGAAATAAATAAATCACTAAGCCTCTTGTTGGACCACAACTAGCAAACCATTCTATAGTCCTAATTACCATTTAGTCTGTATGGCTCCATTATTAATTGCTTGCCGTGTGGTAAGAATAATGATTGCGAAGTAATTCATTTAATCCTTTACAATGTAACTGTAAACACAATGTTTGTTACTTCCGTTCTCAAGGATGCTTTACTTTAATGGTAGCGTCTTTTACCATAATTATTTAATAGTTCTATTGGATGGACAACAACTTTTCCGGGAAAAGAGGCAAATTCGTAATTAGGTCATGAAAATCTTTAAATTTGTTTAAGAAGTTTAAAATGTGGAGATGTTGTAAATTGATATAAAATGTCATCAACTTTTAATATTTACGGAAATCTTTTTAAAAATAAAGGTGGAAATACATAAAGAGCATATTTGTCTGGATTAAGTCATCGGTTGAGTTTTAGGTTGACTTTGGCTCCTTTATTAATTTCCAAAGAAGCCAGCCAGTTAAGCGCTTTATGTATTCCCACCTTAAATCTTTTTCGAGCTTTAAGTTTTATTTCATTTCTGCTTTCCTTCGGGGAATTTGTAAAAAGTAAACGTCATGTTAACTTAAATCTATACTAGGACTCCCTATCATCATCGGTTGTTAATATTTCACCAGAAGTCTGTAAATAGTTTAAGAAGTTAAATATAAAAAACAAAAAATGGAAATATTGTAAATTGAAAAAAAATATTTTCAAATTTTCATATTTCTTTATTTTATTTTAACAAGGCATCAAATGCTTAAAACATTTTTCATCAATATTTCATTCAGATCAGTTAAAGTTAAAAGCTATTAATTCTATATTTGCAATATTCAAAGAAAAAGTTTACAATGGCTTAAAGCTATACCCATTTTTCGTCAGCAAGTATACATTTTCGATAAATTTCCCCATTAGAAATTGGAGTCTCTTTCATTTAACTAAATTAACTGATATTTAGTTCTTAACGTTTCATTAGGACGATCACAAAAAAAAACAATTTTAATAAGATAAGGTACACAAACGACATTTACACCTTTTCTAATTCCACAAAACGATTGCGTTTATATTGATCCTTGTAACCCTTAACGAACCGCAATCGTCCCTCATATTGTGTATCCATTATGGTTTGCACCAACTGTGGATGATCACTGCCCAACTCCATCCACATTTTACCACCAGGTTTCAAGTGCAAACAGCCGCAATCGAAAACTAAACGGGCAATCCGGAGACCATCTGGACCACCATCCAAGGCATTTAAGTTTTCATATCTGAAAGATAACAGGAAATTGATGAGTTAAGAATTTAAATATAAAATATAACAAGTAAGCAAAGGCTACAGTCGAAAGTTGTGATCCATTTCACAGCTAAATATAATAAAATAGTAGACTTCTTCCCTGTCCTTAAGTCTCTTCTTATACAAAATTTCGAGTTGATTGGTTTTCAATTGTGACCTGTAGAACGACTGCAAAATCGGAAAATCTTTTTTTAATATCCTCCACCATAGTATGGTCTTGATCAGCATATAATTCTATGTCGATTTAGCAATATCCGTCCGTCTATCCGTCTGTGGAAATCACTCTAGCCTCCAAACGAAATTAATTAGGTTGATAAAATTTTACTTAAATGTGTATTATGTCTGCAGGACTTTTCGTATTGAAAATGGGTAATGTAGGTCCACTTTTTAGTATAGCCCTCATATAATTTTACCACCCGATATTCGGTATTTTCATGATTTTAGCGACATTATTTACCGGAATTATTTCAAATTTCATATTGAAAAGTTTGTAATGGGTACTACAACCTATGGCGAAAATTTTCGTATGGACGTCCACGTCTACGTAAGCCCCCTCTCGATATTGGATTTTTAAATTATTTTAGCGACATTATTACATGGAACTGTTTCAAATTTCGTATTTGAAGTTCGTAATGGGACCTAAAGCATATGACAAAAAAAATCGTAGGCGGGTCCACATCTTCGTATAGTCCCTATATAAGAGTTGTCAATTAAGTGGTATTTTCCGGATTTTTTTAAATAATTTCAATTTCCTTCCAAATGGTCGAGGGTTTTGAAAGTTCGGCCCGGTAGGACTTAGCTGCTTTTATACTTTTTATAACATTCTTGTACTTGCTTATTTCGAATTTTACAACCGTTTCGATCATTCAAAACTTTGACCCTTTGTGGGAGAGGTACCAGAAGAAATGGTCCGATCTCTGCCATCCTTATAACATATCTTGTGTTGATAGAAATATTGATATGTGCTCAGTCTGAATGGAATCGGATGCTAATTTCGCATTTTCTGAGCTTCAAAATTTTGACCTTTTGAGGGGTATGTACCAGAAAGGGCGGACATATATATTTCATCTTCTCACCAGGAACTTAAGTTAAAATATTGTGATGCGTGTAATTTACAGACAATCGAACACCTATATCACATTTTATAAGAGTTGTAATTATTCAAAATGTTGACCCTTTGTGGGGGAGGTACTTGATGGAGTGGACCGATATTGTCCATTTTCGCACCTGGCCTAGCACTGACACAAATATTAGGATGTGTAAAGTTGGAGCGATATCGAATCATCCTTTCTATGCAGTAAATTAATTTCTTGAAAATGTTGACATATTGTAGGGGAGTTACCAGAAATAAAGGGCCGATGTTGCCCATCTCCGAACTCGATCTAAGTTTGACAAAAATATTACGATGTACCAAGTTTGGACCAAATCGGACGGACATCGACTAGATTGACTCCAAATGTCCTGAAACGAATTTGGTCCAAAGAGTCCTAGGGTCTAAAACCGTTATTTCGATGAGACACGTTTTGGCCGCATCAAATTATATACCCTTTCGAGCTGAGGGTATAAAAAGACAAGACGATTGACAATTTTTGGTGGGTGGAGGATAGTATTCCAACGTTCTTCTCAGACGAGCTAATATCATTTTCTGGCTAGGAAAACCAAGATACTACTAAAACACCTCTACAAACTTGTCCTTCTATTTTCACTTCTTTATCTTTCATCACTAATTATTCTTGCTAGGATGAATAAATGGATGAAAGGGAGGTTATGTATATTAACACGTGCACTTTTATTGCAACTAACTAACAAATTGTAGAACATTTCGTAATGATTTTCACCAAAATAAATTTAAAAAAAATGTCCACAGACTGACAGGTGGACATGATTGAATCGATATAGAATTTCGTGCAAACAACGTCCTGTAAATGATTTTCTGTAGATAGAAGATTTGCAGAGGTAGACTTTACATCTAAGAAGAACATTAAAAAACGTCTTCTATTCATAAAAGATCTAAAGACGATGTTTGTATTTGTAGCAGTCCTAAAGAAGTTTTTCTATCTGTAGAAGTTCTTTTATTCGTTGAAGCCCCATAAGAGGTCATCCATTCAAAAAAGTCCTACAAGTGTCTGTCTATACTAGACTTTAACGTTTGTCCCTAGAAATTCAACGGATCATTAGAAGACATATATAATATACATCATATTTCCAAAAGGCCTATAAAAATTGTCTATAGGAGTAGAAGACATATACAGGGTTGCCCATATTCGACGGACCCACCAATACACGCCACACGAGCGCTCTGAAAGAGTCATCGAAATGGCCGAAGATCACGAGCAATTTTGGAACAAAATTATCATGTCCGATGAAGCCGATTTCACATTGAATGGGACCGTAAATAAGCAAAATTGCCGTTTTTACGCCACTGAAAATCCTCAGGAGATTCAAGAAGTGCCTCTTCATGACAAAAAAGTCACAGTTTGGTGCGGCGTTAATGCGGAAACGGTCATTGGACCGTTTTTCTTCCAAAATTAAAATGGCCATTCTGTTACCATCAATCAGGAGCGTTATCGCGACATGATGACCAATTTTGTGATGCCAATTATACGCCGAAAGCGTATGAAGCAGTTCTGGTTTCAACAAGACGGCGCTCCACCGCACACAAGTCGCATAACAATCGATTGGTCCGTCGAATATGGGCAACCCTTTATTATATTCTATCGACAGAAGGCCTATAGAAATCAGTCTATAAATGGCCTTTAAAAGATATTCGAGCTCATAACATAAAGACAATTTTATATCTTTAAAAGGCCTATACAAAAACATTTGCGTATAGAGGGTCATTTATAGGTAAAATTCCGAGAACGAGGTCTTAAATATCACAAAAAGGAATATAGGTTATTTCGGAATATATGTTAGGTGATTATATGCAGCTATGTTGACTGTTATGGCTCAAGTCACGTTTAAATCCCTCTCGAAAAACATTTTGAAATTTTTATTATAAATAGCTCAAGAGGCTAAATCCCTTTCGAAAAACATTTTAAATTTTGTTTATAATAATTGCAACATAATTTATTGTTCCAGAGATATAGGCCTCCAATGTTCTGTACGTTCCTTATATTTGCCATAGTTTTTAAGACAGGCTAAAGTTCTAATTACAGTGATAAATACATATCGTTGGAATCAGAACTTCAATTGCTTCCCATCGGCACCCATATTGGCTTGGTTGGACTCAAAAACAATGAAGATAATGCAAGGGTACTCTCAGAACATTGGTTGCCAAAAACTCGGGAAAAATTACTTTGCTAATCTTATATTTTTGTCTGTAAGACCCCAAGGACTAATTTTGCTAAAACATTCAAAATGCTTCACGGAGTGTCCTTAAACGTGACTTGTTCCACACCACATAAAAACGTCGTGCTTTGCATCAACACAGCTGCCTGGTTAGTACAGGAGGACATCTGACAACATTTACAAAAACACATGCTTGACACTTAAAGAAATGTTGTACTGGGATATTTGGATCTTACAATTTCACTTCCGGCTGCAGCAATGCAAATTCTTCAGTCTTCACATAAGGCGGATTAGAAATGATAAGATCAAATTTCCGTCCCTCCAGTTCTTTGGGCAAATAATCATTTTCAGCTGTTGTGTGATTGTAGACCTTGAAGCGGTCTTGTAGATTTAGACGTTTGGCATTTTCCCATGCCAAGGCGGTGGCAGCTTTACTACGTTCCACAGCAGTACTCTTGACATTTGGCAAAGCATGTAATATCGCCAAAGACATGGCTCCCGAACCACATCCCACCTCCAACATATCCACCGGTTCCATTACATTGCGATAGACACTAATTACCTTCGATACGAATTCTTCAGTCTCTGGCCGGGGTATAAATACCGTGGGTGCTGTTTTCAATGTGATATCCATAAAATCCCATTCGCCCACAATGTGTTGCAATGGCATACGGGCACATCTTGCCTCACAGAGACGTTCAAATTCCTTCAACTGTTCACGATTAAATTGCACATTGTGGTACGTGTTCAAGGTATTCTAATTTGTGGGTGGCGAAAGGTAACAATAATTAGCATTATTACATAAAACTGCGGGTAATTCAATTAGTCCGAACTTACAAATTTCCGATTTAACACCTTGGCAACGATACACTTCAAATTGAATTCAATATCACCCACTTCGCTTAAACGCAACTTTTCATCCCATCCTTCTAAGGCCTTCGTCACATCGATTTTTTCCTCGGAGTTATTTTGTGTTGTCGCCAAGGCTGCCGTTGGCCTCACCTGTTTAGTGGCCGTCCTGGATATTTGTCGCAATTGTTGGAATAGTAATTTGTACATTTCTATGGAATTTTAATTGATAATTTATGGTAAATAGGATTTGGTGATTTATTTCCAGTTGGTTTTAATGGTTTCAACTGGACCGAATGTTATGTAGTTTACCGACTGAGAGAGTGTCAATCAATGTGGGAGAGAAAAAGTGACAATTGTGAATAAATCAATCACTGCGAAATGTTAGCATTCACAATCGAGTGGTACTTACATTTCAACGTGCAGCAAATGACAGATTTAGGTTATTTTGTAACAATTCGCAAAAGCTGAGTAAAAAAAACGAACAAACGAACATTTTCGCCAATTTAGTATTTATTAAAGGTTAGTCTGCTAGTATATACTATTAAAGAGATAATTTTTTCTTAATATACCACAAGAACATAGTAAACCGTACTGGAAATATATGGCACAATTAAAAAAAGGTAGAAACAAAACTACATAAAATAAAGTTAGATTTTTCCAGTTCTATAAAAAAATTAAAAAAAAAAACATAAATTTAAGAAAAACAAGTTAGAAAATTGGGTTTGTCGAAAAATGTATACCCTCAGCCAATGTTCGATTTCTGTTATGATTATACGGTCAAAAATTTGAATGGAGTAGCTTCCGAAAGAATGATCCAATATTGTCCATTTGGTATCGGACCTAAATAAATATGATATTAATACAGGGTGAGATGAAAAAACTGCGACCAAATTCTATCATTTCTAAGCCACTCGTCCGACATTTGTTAAAATTATTCCAGTGACAGCTCATTATATTTTTTACGAGCGTACAAAAGCATTTTGGTGAGAAGTTTCCAGAAAAAAGTTATTCGTGTTGGAATTCAAGCGTGATAGTGGAATTTTTTTATATTTGGCTTGGAAAAAAGTGGCTATCGTTTGAGCACTCCAGCATTGAAATATGAATAAATCTTTTGTGTCTCGTACCGTGAAAATGTTAACGCAGCCCGACGTCAAGGAAGTGGACGGAAGAAAACAGCAACATCAGCAGAAATGGTTCGAGAAGTAAAGAAGCGACTTGATCGAAACCCGCGTCACAGTGGCCGAAAAATAGCTCGTGAGCTGAACATATCACAATATTCCATTCGGCAAATATTGAAAATATTGAAATGAGCTCGAGGTAAAGCCATTGAAATTCCAAAAAGTGCAAGAACTTACACCGCAACAGAAAGAAAATAGACTCAAAAGAGCTAAAGATTTGCTTCGCTTGGCCGAAAGTGGTGAACTGCCGAATTTGGTTTTCTCCGATAAGAAAACATTCGTTGTCCAGCAGTTTGTAAACAAATAAAATTATCGTGTTTACTTGACAAGGGGGTCAGCTGAAAATGTGCACCTAGGGTTGGTCACCAGAGCTCAAGCGCCGGCCTCGATTGGACCGTTGGACTATTGGACTATTGTGTCTGGAGTATTTTGGAAAGCAAGGTTGTCACTAAAAAATATGAAAGTGTCGATCACCTCAAACAAGCGCTTCACCGGGAATGGGCCAAAATACCGCAGAGCAACATTAAGGCAGCTTGTGAGGGTTTCATTGGCCGTTTGAAGGCCTTAATTCGTGCCAAAGGCGACCAAGTCGAACAAATCTAAACTTATTCTAAAATTTGATGCTTCTTCCGACATTTTTTGCTTTCATTCAATGAAATTTAAATTTTTTATCTCATTCTGTATATGCAAAGTAGTGTAGGGTATCATAAAGTCGGCCCAGCTCAACTTTGGCCTTTCTTTACTGGTTTTATGTTATAGATCAGAAGAAGTGCTGAGAAATAATACGTTTTTAAAAATATCCAATTTCTTTACATTCAAGCAATGTAATGCTCTACTTATGGCAGAAGAATACAGGTAGATGCATCAACACTTGGGATCATTGATATGTCAGCAAAATTTAAATGTTTTTTTCAAATATAAGTAGATTTTTATATGTTTTCTTATACAACGTCATTCGGAGGCTATTATAATTCGCGTTTTTCAACAATTTTTACAAATTTAAATAATTTTTCATTCAACATTTTCAATTCCAAAATTGGTTTGACAGTTCATTGTCCCAGCAGCTGTGTCGACGCGTCTACCTATTGTTTGTTTACTGAACTGAAATCATGGCAGAAGAATACAGGTAGATGCATCAACGCTTGGGAGCATTGATATGTCAGCAAAATTTAAATGTTTTTTCAAATATAAGTAGATTTTTATATGTCTTCTTATACAACGTCATTCGGAGGCTATTATAATATGCGTTTTTCAACATTTTTTACAAATTTAAATAATTTTTCATTCAACATTTTCAATTCCAAAATTGGTTTGACAGTTCATTGTCCCAGCAGCTGTGTCGACGCGTCTACCTATATTCTTCTACCATGGCTCTACCATTGTTTACCAAACTGAAATGTAGGAAAAGTTACCTCAACCAGACCTTGATATAAAATATACGCCAATGTAAACTCTCTGTAAACTCTTATTTTAAAGAACAGCTAAATTACTTTGGTAACTCGAGATACTAATAAATGTGATTGGCAACGCGAGGGTTAATGCGTAGCTATTTCATAAACCTGTGTTGACGATGTGGTCGTTTTTACACCACATCTCTTGAGGATTGGTAACGAAAAGAAAAGTTATACATTTTGTATGCTGCAATTAAATATATTTATTTATTTTTTTTTTGGATTTTTGAAGTCCCTTTTCTGAACTTTTTTGCTTTTTTTGTTTCCTATCTGTATTTTTTTTTTGATTTTTGGAATTTTTATAAATTCATTGCTTTCAGTTTGAACTATAATACAATCGAAGGAATGCACTCCTTGTTTAATAGTTGAATTCCATTAACAATTGGTCATTGAAATTGTTCCAGTTTCTGAATCACAACCATCTCCCACATTGCTGCCACTATTCACCGAGGGCACGGCATTTCTTTCACGCACCCCCAACCAGGGAAGACGTCTTTCCAATTCTGCCCGATATTTCGGATGACTAGCTGCATAGACCCAGGGATCCAAGCAGGAAACTAATTTTGCACAACAACAGGGTATCATCGATGCAAACGGTGTTATCATATAGCGATAGTTAAAGGTACCCAATAGCGACACCGTAGCATATGGGGTCCACGAGAAGACATACATCATATAAATGGTCATGGCTGCCTTGGCAATGCGAATTTCAACACTCATTGCATTTTGATTGGCCGACAGGGATTTGATGTTCATTTTCTTAGCCTGATCGGCTAACATTTTTTCATGGTCCCGGACATGCAGGAAAAGTTTGGTGTAATAAACACAAATAATGATCATGGGGATACAATAGGCCCACACGAACATTGATTGGACGAAATAGCGGGTCTCATCGTCCTGGGAGAGATAATCAAACGAGCAGCTCGTCAGGAAGCCCTCTGCGTGAGAGAAAGAGAAGGAAATGTAAATAACACAAAATGGAGAGAATTTCATCATCCCACCTGGTATATAATGCCCCCAAATGTGAAATAATGGCAACACTGAAAATGGCGTTGTCCATAGCCATGTCATAATAATGATGATTATGATTTGGGGGAAATTTAAACGGCCATCTATGGGATTTGAAATTGTTCTGAAATTAGGAATAAAAATAAAAAAATATGAAAAATAAAATAAAATATTCCTTCCCACCTGTAACGATCATAGGCGATAAAAGCGTTTGTAACGGCTGCTCCCTGGCCAGAGATGCCACCTATCACGGCATAGATATCACAGCCTAAATCTCCGCCCCAAAAATACCCCAACACAGCATTAATCATATAATGTGGCATATTAAGAGCCATTGTCAAATCGAATATCGCCAAATTTATTATCAACAAATTTGAGGGAGTACGTAAATTTTTGGATCTGAAATAAAAAATAAAATTAGAAAATGTAAAAAACAAGCCATGAATTTTTGAGAAATATTTTATCCTGTATTTTTTTCATATGTTTTACAAGAATTATTTTTTGAAAAATTTTGTAAAACATTTTTTGCAAAGATCATCAAAGCGTGAATTTTGTAAGAATATTTTTTTTTTTCAAAAAGGATCGGAGCATGGGTTTAAATTCAAACAATTTTTTTAGGAACTAGCAAAGAGTGAATTTTTAAAAATATTGTTTTAAAAATCATCAAAACGTGAATTAAAAAAAATCAACAATTAAGAAAACGTGGATTTTTTATTTTAAGAATGTTTTCTTCAAAAATTAGCAAAGCAGGTTTTTTTTATTTTTTTTTTAATTAGCAAAACGTGTATTTTTAAAAAATGTATGCTTTTTTTAAATGAATTGTCAAAGCGTTGATTGGATTAAAAAAAAAGTAGTTTATTTTGTTTTTAAATAGAAAAGCGTGAATTTTTATCCAAATTTAGGGAGCTTGAATTTTTTTATTTATTTTATTAAAGAATATCAAAGTGCGGATTTAAAATAAACTAGCAGATTAAGGAAGAGTGGATTTGTTAAAAATATTTTTTTTTTCAAAAATTAGGAATTGTCAAAGCGTATATTTCTTGAAATTTTTTTGTCAATAATTAGCAAGCCATGAAATTAAATATTTGGGAGGGATTTAAAAATATATATATATAGTATATTTAAAAAAAAAAAAGCATTATGAAAAAAATATAAAATTAAATAGAGGATATATTTAAAATATTTTTTCAAAAATTAGCAAAACGTGTAAAATGTTTTTTTGAAAGAATTATCAACGAGTGAGAGAATTTTTTAAATATTTGTTTTTTATTTGTTTTTTTTTTTTTGTTTGTTAGCAAACTGTAGATTAAAAAAATATTTTAGAGGTCCTCAAACCGTGATATTTTTCTTATATTTTTTTTTAAAAATTGGGAATAATGGATTTTTTAAAAATTAGAAAATAGTGATATTTTTCTCAAAATTCGCTAAGCGGGTATTTTCTATTTTTTTTCAAACACTAGAAAAGCTTGGATTTTTTTAAATATATATTTTTCAAAAATTAGAAGAAAGTAAAATTTTTAAAAATATTTTTCAAGGAATTTTTATGGCGTGGATTTTTGAAAGATGAGTATTGTTTGTTTTAAAAATTGACGAATCGTGGATTTTTAAACTTATTTCTGAAAAATTAGAAAAACGTGTATTTTTATTTTTTTTTTTCAAAAATTAGAAAAACGCGGATTTTTGAAAATGTTCTTTCAAAAATTAGAAGGGATTGAATTCTTCAAAACTTTTTTTTTGAAAATTAGGAAAGCTCGAATTTTTTAAAAGCCTATTTCTTTTCCAAAAATTAGAAGAGAGTGGAATTTTTAATAATTCCAGGAATTGTTAAAGCTTGCATTTTTGAAAAATATTTTTTACTGGAACTGTTAAGGATTGAATTTATTAAAAATATTTTTTCAAACAAATTTTAGGTACTGCGTTTATGAAAAACATATTTATTTTTTTCAAGGAATCGATTTTTTTAAATATTTTTGTTTTTTCAAAAAATTTACAAATTGTGTATTTTTTAAAAAATATTTTTTTTTTAAACTAACAAAGCGGATATTTTAAAAATATTTTTTCCAAATATTACAAAATTTGGATTTATTTAAATATATATTTTTTTAAATAGCAAAATATGATTTTTTAATATTTCCTTTTAAAAAATTAGCAAAGAAGGGATTTTTCAAAAATATTTCTTTCTTAAAAATTAGCAAACCGCGTATTTTTTAAATATTTTTTTTTTCTTAAAATATAAAATTTAATTAATTTTTTAATTTCCAAATCGTGGATTTGTTAAAAAATATTTTTTTGAGGAAATTGTCAAAACTTCATTTTTAAAATATTTTCCTTTTCAAAACTAAGCGAAGCTGGAAATTACTAAAAAATTTCTTTTAAGGAATTGTTAAGGCGTGGCTTTTTAATATTTTTTTTCAAGGAATTTTTAAGGCGTGGATTTTTTTTTAAATATTTGTTGCAAGGAATTTTTATGGGGTGGATTTTTTAAAAATATTTAAAAAAAATGTATGGCATGTTTTTTTTATAAATATTTTTTAAAAAAAAATTATGGCTTTTATTTTTTAAAATGCTTTTTCAATTTTTGGCGTAGATTTAAAAAAAGAAATTTTTCAAAAAATAATTTTAGGCGTGGATTTTTAAATCAACTTTTTTTATAAAAACAACAATAAAGCGATTAAGTCTAGCCATTTTGCAACAACAAAATACTATGGTATCCCGAACAAACAAGCCAACATTAGGTAAGCGTGTATTTTTGAAATTATTTTTTTAAAGTTAGCAAAGCGTTGGATTTTTTTTTTTAAATTTTCAAAAAATATAGAAGCGTGAATTATTTTATATTTTTTTTAAATAAAAAACGTTTTGTTAAAAATATTTTTTTTTTGAAAATTTTTCAAAAATTAGATAATTAAAAAAAAATATTTTGTTAAGGATTCTCGAAGCATAAATTTGTTTAAATGTTTTTTTAAGGATTTGCAAATATGGATTTTCTTGAAAAATATTTCTTAAGCGTGTGTTTCTTTAAATATGTTTTCATTGATTTTCTTGCAAAATATTTTTTACGGATTTTAATTCGTGATTTTTTTTTTGCAAACATCATTAATGCGTGAATTTTGTAAAAATATTTTTTCTTCAAATATGATCGAAGCAAGGATTTTATTTCAAGCTATTTTCTTAAGGATTGTCAAAGCGTGAATTTAAATAATAAACATTATTTCAACCCTGCGCTGTGAATTTGTGCACAAATCGAAGTGTGAATCTTTAAATGTTTTTAGTGAAGAAGGCATTTTAAATTTGTTTTCAATTATAGCGGGGAGTGTTTTGCCCCAAAAAAATATATTTTTAGAGAGCGATGCGTGGATTTTTATATATTTTTGTTGAAGGATTTTCGAAGAATAGCATTTTTATATAGTTTTGGAAAAAATAATGATTATTGTAAAAAATAAAAATAATTTTTAAAAAATTTAAGGACTTTTCAAATATAATTTTTGTTTTATTTTAAGATTTTGAATTTTTTAATTTGTGGTATTTTGTTTGAGTATTATACACTAGATATCAGAAAAAAGTATTTAAAAAATATATTTTTTTTCGAGAACTGAGCGATTGTGATTTTTTTAAATATATTTCCGAGTATTATTCAGTCATGACTTAAAAAAAAAAATCAAGGAATTGTTAGGATCGCAGATATTTTATAATTTTTTTGTGTACCAAGAATTCACGAATTAAAAAAAATATTTTCGTAATTTATTCAAATTAATTAGTTTAAAATTATTTTCCGAGCAATACACAGTTTTGAGTATTTTGAAAAAAAATTAACGATTAGGAAAAAATATATTTTCTAGGATTGCACAGTCGAGGGTTCTTTTTCGAGTATTCTGAAGTTTTGGATGGTTGGCCATATTACTTCTGTTTCTTGTATTGGTTTTTGTAAATATTAATGTCGAGTGATTTTTGTTTTGTTTTTTTTTTTTAACATGTTGCCAAGGATTCTCTCATTTTTCGAATTAGAAAATTTTAAACATATCTTTCTAAGAAAAAAAAAATTTTTAGTACCATCGACTTACGTTGAAAATATCCACAACACCAAACCATTGCCAAATAGAGAACATAACAACATGGCCACAAATGCCATAAATAGGAATGCCTGATAGTAGATTTGCGGAGCCGGGAATGAGCGCCAGTGTTCGTGTATTAAATGTTGATATTCCATGGGAAAATGCCAACCCAAATTGGGTGGGGAATTTTGTGATGACAGAGAAGAGCTAAAGTAAATGACATTAATTTATGTAATTTTATTTTTAAATCCTCTCCAAAATCGTACCCATTTTGATAATTTGCAAAAGGTACTGGACCTATTATTTCAGATCTCTCCAACGAATCCATGTTAGGTTTTGAATAGTTAACGAATTTCGAACGGAGTTATTTTTCCCACATGATGTTAATTATTCTTTTTCGAAACGAGTGTCCGTCTTAAATTTGTATGTATCCGTATATCCGTTTAATCTATAACTAACCTTTTCACTAATCTAACACTTTCCTTTTATAGCTGCTGATGATGGCTGGCCAGTCATAGCCAAAATGCTGCATAAAGTGCTTAAGATACCGTTTTTTGTCTTTGCCTCGACGTAAAAGACATTCCAAGGAGGATTATCTGAATTCTTGTTGAATGGACAGAAGGTGAGTAGAGCATTATTTTAAATTTTCTTATGCGAGGTGTGTTAAGGAAGGTTCAGAAAAGAAATTAAGGGAAAAATAAAGAAGGGGACATCAATTTTAAACTCTTTTCTGGACTGTGTGCAAAGAACCATAGGCTTTGAGGACCAAAAATGAGCAATGACATTCCATTCCGAAATTTCGAATCATTTTCAATCGCACCTCGAACATAAGTTTAAATAACCCAAGGGTTTGGAATTAAAATAGTAAAAAAAAATAATTACGTATTGGGTGAGCAAAGCCTATTTCGAATTATTGAGTATGCCGGGGACATAACAATTTCGACATGGCACTCAAAAAAAAAAAAAAAAAGAGCTTGGTATTCAAATTTTCCAAAACAAGTTATAAAGTATATGTCGGTTTTGCCGACAAATTTATACCCCCAGCCTTGAGTTATGCTTATTCTAACTGTTGGCTAAGAGACCTAGGGTCTAAAATCATAATTTTGCACATTTTGGCCGTATCAAATGATAGCCATATGGATGAGGGTATAAAAATAAATTTGGTACTCAAAATGTTTCTTGCAAAGATTTTTCACTAAATCTCCCTTAAAACATGTTAACTTTTTAAACAAAATTACTACTTAATACTCAAAATGTTCTCTAAAACAGACCACTCTTAATACTCGAAATTTTCTCTAAAACAGACCACTCTTAATACTCAAACTATCCTGCAAACAAGTCCACGTTTAGTACTCAAAATTTTCTCTAAAAAAGTCCACGCTTAGTATTCAAAAATTTCTCTAAAAAAGTCCACGCTTAGTATTCAAAAATTTCTCTAATAAAAATCCACGCTTGATACTCAAAGTTTCCTCTAAAAAAGTCCTTGAAAAAATATTCTTTAAAAAATCCACGTTTATTAGGGGCCTTGAAAAAATATTCTTTAAAAAATCCACGTTTATTGGGGGCCTTGAAAAAATATTCTTTAAAAAATCCACGTTTATTGGGGGCCTTGAAAAAATATTTTTTAAAAAATCCACGTTTATTGGGGACCTTGAAAAAATATTCTTTAAAAGATCTACGTCTATTGGTATTGAAAATTTCCTCTAAAAAAAGTCCACACTTGGTATCGAAAATTTCTTATGAAAGAGTTTACGCTTATTATTGAAAACTTCCTATGAAAGAGCCCAAGCGTGATGTCGAAAATTTCCTGTGAAGAAATTTCAATACTTTGCATGGACTTTGGAACTCCCCGTTCGGTATTGAAAATTTCCTATGGAAAAGTCTCTATTGGTATTGAAAATTTCCTAGTCCACGCAAAGTATTGAAAATTTCCTCTAAAAAAATTGAGCTTGGTATTGAAAGTTTTCCATGAAAAGGTCCACACTTGATATTGAAATTTTTCAACGAAACAGTCCACTTTTGGTATCGAAAATTTCCCATTAAAAAGTCCACGCTTGGTATTGAAAATTCCCTATGAAAAATTCCACACTTGGCATTGAATATTTCCACTGAAAAAATCCACGCTTGGTATCGAAAATTTCCTATGGAAAAGTCCGTATTGAAAAATTTCTATGAAAAAGTCCATTCTTGGCATTGAATATTTCCTCTGAAAAAATCCACGCTTGGTATTGAAAATTTCCTATGAAAAAGTCTACACTTGGTATTGAAAATTTCCGATGAAAAAATCTTCGCTTGATTTGAAAATTTCAAGTCCACTCTTGGTATTGAAAACTTCCTATGAAAGAGTTCAGGCTTGTTATTGAAATTTTTCAATGAAACAGTCAACTTTTGATATCGAAAAATTCTCATGAAAAAGTCCACGCTTGGTATTGAAAATTCCCTATGAAAAAGTCCACCCTTGGTATTGAAAATTTCCGATGTAAAAATCCTCGCTTGGTATGGAATATTTCCTATGACATTGTACTGAAAAATTGGAATGAAATGTCCTTGAATGTTATTTAAAAAAGTCCTATAAAAAGTCCTATTGAATCCCCTCCCCCAGATTCTTATAACCAACGAAATAAAAACACATTTATTTATTTTGTTTATTTTATGTTTTTTATTTTTATTTTCCTTTTTCTTTGTTCTCCTTTTTTATTTCATTCGTAATCATCATTTGTTTTATATAACATAAACATTTTTCATTATAATTATTATTATTCTTATAATTTTCTTTAATATATATATGTATATGCATATTATTAATTAATACTTATGTTGTTTTATTATTATTAAATTTATGATCTATAGTTCGCTTAGCCAAACTAACATTTCTTTATATATAAATATTATTAATAATAATAATAATTGTTTTTTTTATTATATTTGTTTCTTCTATTCTATTATGCAAATATATAATTAATTTAATGATAAATATTTTTTTGTTTATTTTATGGATTTTTTTTATAATATTTATTTTTAATACAAAATTTACAAAAACTAAATTTAAAATAAATATTGTTTAAAAAAATAATTATTTTTAAGCGGTTTTAAGACTACGACTTAGATTTAGGTTATAAATATTTTTTTTAATTTTATGAATTTTATAAATATTTTTATTTTTTAATTATTTATTATTTTTTCTTTATTTATATATTTAGAGCTAATTATAGAATTATCTTAATCGTTATTAATAATATATATGTATATTTTTTGTTAATATTATTTTAACATTTAAAAAGCTACATGTTTTTCATATACTTCTTATTTATTATGTAACTATATAATATTTTTGTATTATTTTAATATATTATTTTTTTTATTTATAAATCTATGATATATGGGTATGTATGATATCAACACAAAGGCTAAAAATATATCGGGTCTAATATGACGAATTTTAATTAATTTTTTTCCTTAAAAAAATAAATAAAAAATGAATATATCTTCTTATCTTAGACTTGCTACAAATTTAGCCCATGCGTTATTTTTTCAATACGTTATATGAAATATTTTTTACCAATGTTTTTTGATATTTTTTTTTAATTTTTTATTTTTGGTTTTATATGATATATGCTTATTTTTTGAAATTTTTTGTCATCCAAAATGTATTTTTTTTAATTTTATTTTTTAAATATTTTTTCAATTTTTGTGTTTCTTAATATTAATTTTTTCATCTAATTATTTTTTTAAATTTCTTTAACCTTTTCTTGACCTTTTTCCAATATTCCATCAGTGTTTTTAATAACCATTCTTTGATTGTTTAACATATGTAGTTTTTTTTTTAATTTATGATTTTCTATATATATTTGTTTTATTTTGCTTCTAAACTATTCTAAACATTCTCCAACAACATTTTTTTTTGAATTAAAATATATTTTTTGGTTTTTTTTTTATTTTTCTTTTTATAACGGACCCTATGGGCTTATACATTATATACATTTGCTAACATGGGGTTTATTTTCAATATGGTTTTGTATAAATAAAATTATATTCATTTAAACCTTGTTTTGTTCATTAGGTCTCTCGAATTAAAAGAAAAAGATAGGACTTATTACCCATTAAAAAAAATAATATTTAAAAAAAAATATTAATCAATAGAATTTTCTTTGAAAAAAATCCAAAATTTCCTTGGAAAAAGTCCAAAATTTCCCGTGAAAAAGTCCAAAATTTATTATAAAAAAATCCACGCCTGCCATTGAAAATTTTCTTTCAAAAAGTCCAAAATTTCCTATGAAAAAGTTCAAAATTTCCTATGAAAAAGTTCAAAATTTCCTTTGAAAAAATTCAAAATTTCCTATGAAAAAGTACAAAATTTACTATTAAAAAGTCCAAAATTTCCTATGAAAAAGTCCACGTCTGGCATTGAACATTTTCTTTGAAAAAGTCCAAAATTTCCTATGAAAAAGTTCAAAATTACCTCGTGCCTTCGAAAATTTCATTTGAAAAAGACCACGCCTGGCATTTAAAATTTCCTTTGAAAAAATTCACATCTGGCATTGAAAATTTCCTTTGAAAAAGTCCAAGCCTGGCTTTCGAAATTTCCTTTGAAAAATCCACATCTACCATTGAAAATTTCCTATGAAAAAATCCACCACTGGCATTGAAATTTTCCTTTGAAAAAATTCTTGACTGGCATTGAAAATTTCTTTTAAAAAAATCCATGCCTGGCATTGAAAAATCCACGACTGGCATTGAAAATTTCCTTTGAAAAAATCCGCGACTGGGCTTGAAAATTTCCTATGAAAAAGTCCAAGACTGGCATTGAAAATTTCCTTTGAAAAAAAACAACGACTGGCATTGAAAATTTCCTTTCAAAAAAATCCAAGACAGGCATTGAAAATTTCCTTTGAAAAAAATTCTCGACTGGCATTGAAAATTTCCTATGGGAAAAGTTTACGTTTGGTATAAAAATTTCCTTTGAAAAAATCAAATCTGTTATTGAAAATTTCCTTTGAAAAAATCCACGACTGGCATTGAAAATTTCCTTTGACAAAACCCACGACTGGCATTGAAAATTTTCTATGAAAAAGTCTACTCCTGGCAATGTTTAGCCGTATGGCGATTTTATAAAATTAGTGAAACTGTTATACAAATATTTTTGAAATCGTCTTGTTTTTGCCTAAACTGCGTCTATAAAAATTAGTTTTCGCATTCACTTTGGCAAAACTAAGCCAATTTTCCCCTTATTTTTCTCAATGTTTTTGTTCTTACTTTTCAAATATTATAATACTTCGTATAACAGTTACAAACTGTTATGCCATTTTTCATAGTATATATTTGTTTCTGTTGCATTTCTTTTTGCGTTCATATAGACAAAACTAAGCCAATTTGTCTCTTAATTATTCAATTTTTTCCTAACTTGTCAAAGATTATAACACTTTGTATAACAGTTATAAAGTGTTATACCTTTTTTCATAGGGTATATGGTGTTTAAATTGTTTACATTTCAGTTTTGTTTCATCTGTTAATGTCTAGTCCATTTTGTATAACAGTTATGAACTGTTATACATTCGAAAATGATGTATTAGTTTTACTATATTTTTGTTTGGATGACAATTAATTAAGGACCATTAGCATCCTTTGTTATTTCCAAAGTGTATAACCGTTTTCAAAAGTGTTATAATTTTTAATATAACAATTTAAGCGTCAAAATCGATATTTTTGGCAATGTTCCGCTTTAAAAAAATGTCTATATATTAACTGTTATACTATGGAATGGAAAATGGATGTTTATCAATTCACTAATCGCCTTCAAAATGTAAAAGAGGTAAAAATACCATCAAGTTCGATGTTGTCCAACCTAAATTACGGCCAGATTATTTGACTTACTTGACCCTCAAAATATCGGAAGGTAAAAGACAAAGGCCTCACGGCCACATGGCCACTGAGCCTCGAATTTAAAGTGCCTCAATTTTTGTTGGAGGTCTAAAAAATCGAAATTCCCGTAAACCTATAATAGGGCACCCTTATCCACATCAGAGAATATTATCTCCACAGAAAACCAGGAGAGTTTTGGAAAAAATCACTAATTCACTTCGAACTTAATTTCTTTCAAATTCCCTTTTCGATTGAAGACTTCGGTATCAAGGATCCCAATATTTTATGAAAAATAGTTGGGGTTTCGTTTCAAAAAATGGCTTTATGACTTTTCTTTCCGGAAGTGATAAATGTGATTTCAGAGATCTCAAAACCATTCTCATCTTTGGTTGGAACTTGAATATAATTTTATTTATACTTAAAAACCATATTTGTCTTAAAAATGTCCTTTTTTAAATATTTTTAGGATTTTTTTCCTAATTTTTTTGTTATTTTTTCTCTTCTATGGTAAATTTTTTCTAAAATAAAATATAAAATATTAAAAATTGAAAAAAGAAAAAAGGGTAAATTGGTAAATTTTTTCTAAAATAAAATATTAAAAATTGAAAAAAGAAAAAAAGGTAAATTATTAACGATGAAAATCAAATTGATATTTGACATTGCTTTGGGCAACTAGGCCAAAATTATGGGTTTCGGGCAATACTTAAAAGATTGCTTGCTATGAAATTATCGGGAAAGTAGTTTTTTAAAATTCCAAATATTTATACCAAAAAAACATAGTTGTCTTAAAAATTTCCTGTTTCAATTTTTTTAGGAATTTTTTTTTCATATTTTGTGTTTTTCTCAATTTCTCTTTTTTGGAAAATTTTTCTGAAATAAAATATTAAAAATTGGAAAAAATAAAATTCAGTACGGTAAATTATTCACGATGAAGATCGAATAGATATTTGACATCGCCTTGGGCTACTAGACTCCTTGCGCTAAAATTATCTGAAATTTATTTATTTTTGTTTTTAATTTCTAAAATCAAAAATATTATTCGGAATTTGGAAAAAACAAATGAAATAAATAAAACAAATAATTTTTTTAATTGAAAAATTATTTTATATTTTTAAAACAATTTAAAAAAAAATAAAAATTATTTTTTACAAAATCATACAATTCACAAACTTATAAAAAAACAATTAAATACAAATTAATAGCACAAAATTATTTATAAACATTTACAGAACTTATTAATTAAAATATTGCAAAATTAAAGGGATTAAAGGACGCAAATTGATTTCTATTTAAGGTGAAAGGCTAGCAAAGGTAACCTTAAATCATTGACAACAAAAATAAAAGCAGTGTCTCTAATGAGGCTTATCATTAGGGAAGAGGTATTCATTTTAATGGTCAAGGATTTAAAGGGCCTGAAATCCTAAGGTTTTCTAAATTGTAGTTCCCTTCAAAATTTTTAAAATTAAATACAAAGGCACAAAATTAGTAATAGACAGAAAAATTAAATTAAATTAAAAAATTATTAATTTTTAAAAAAATTATAAAAATGAATACTTAATTGGAATTTGGCTGTGGAAAGTTGAAGCTTGGCCACTGTTAGACAGAAGCTTTAGAAACGTCTTTAAGAATTTCATATTTGTTGTTAGCAAGGTAGTCGTTTGTTTTTGCGTAGAGATTCAAAGTTTCAATTGGAATTTTTTTTATAACTAAAATTAAAAATTAAATTGACTGGCTTTTAAGGGTGATTTATGTTACAGACTTAAAAAATTAAAAAAATATTTTTTATTAAAAAAATTAAACTGAAATTGTTACAATGTATTTTTTAAGAACATTCAAACAAAAATCTGTATAACAAATTAAAACTTATTTTTAAATAAATGTTTTTTTTTTATTTTCTTCACTATTGTTGCTTATTTTTCATTTTTGTTCTTCTTTTTTTGTTTTGTTTCTTTTTTTCTTCATGTTGTATTTGTTTAAATGTAATTTAATGCATAAACAGTCTTTTTTAGTTCACAATAACTTAAAAGAGACAAGGACTAAAATCTAAAATTAATTTACATTTATGTATCATTTTGTTTTTTTATTTGTTGTTAAATATTTTAGTTTTTAATTTGTTTTTAAATTTATTTAAAAATAATGGAAAGTATAGCATAATTGTATTGTTTACTAATTAGTGATATAAAGCAGGCAGGGCAGATTCTTTCATTATATAATAATTAAGACGTAATTATGCAATAACAAATTGTTTTTATAAAATTTAATTTAGTTTCTGTTAGTTATATAAAGACATGTATGGAAGTTATAAACTGTTATACATCAGTGAAATATATTTTTTAAAGTTATTTAAACATATGAATGCAATATCCTATCATGCTCATATTTTTTTTTTTCAATTTTTACATGCTTTCTAAAAAACTGTTATACTTATACATTTTTACCCTCAAGTATGGAACGGACTCAAATGAGAAACTATCGTTTTGTGTTCTATTGCCCAATTATTAGGAGGTCGTTCTTTCAAATTATAACACTTTTTAAACTTAAGATTAAAAACTATCATTTTGTAATGTTCCTTATATTTTAAAAAATTTTCATTGAGTATAACACATTTATAACTGTTATACTACAAATTTTATGACTTTCCTACAGCATCTTCATTCAATTAAATGTAATTATGATCATTTTATAAACCCCACAATTTTACTACAACTGTTATACTCCTAGTAGGACAGTCGTCCTTCAGCCAAAATGACTGAAACTGTTATACAATCAGTTTTAGTAGTTATTTATATCGATTGCTTGCAACTTGATTTATATTTCTGTGAACAATTTCCTAACTGCATAACACCATTTAAATTTCCCTACTTCAACCACGTTCCAAAAAAACTGTTATACGGCCAGTATTTAGAACAGTAGCTTTTTAAATCAAATGACTGAAATTGTTACATACACATTTCATAATTTCCCCTTTAGATTAAAGGCTATAATTTTTTTTTTGCTTTTCTAATTTTTGAAAAATTTCAATGAGTATAACACTTTTACGACTAATAATTATAGCACTTTTCTAAAAATGTTATCGTTCAATTAAAATTAATTATGATCATATTATGAACCCTACGGTGTTCCTATAACTTTTATACTCCTAGTAGAACACTCATTCTGCCAAAATGACTGAAACTGTTATACAAACTATTTTATTAGTTATTTATACTGATTGCATGTAACTTGTGAGGTTCCCTGAAATATTCAAATTTACTTGAACAATTTTCAAATAGTATAACACTATTTAAAATTTTCCAACTTCAACCACGTTGTAAAAAGACTGTTATACTGCCAGTATTTAGAACAATAGTCTTTTGACGCAAATGACTGAAATTGTTATGCATATACATTTTTTAATTTCCCTTTTAGATTAAAGGCTATCGTCTTTGTTTTTTTTTTGAAAAATTTTAATGGGTATAACACTTCTACGACTGTTATACTGCAATGTATAACACTTTTGTAAAAAAACACCATTCTTAAAAAAATTCTCGTTCACTTTCAGTCAATTATGATCATATTATGAACCCTACGGTGCTCCTATAACTGTTATACTGCTAACCTTCTTCCAACAAAATTACCGAAACTGTTATATATACGGATTCATTATTAATTTAAATTGATTTCAATTTACTGGCCCGGCTTTCTTGAAAGTTTTCAAACAGTATAACACTTTTTAAACTGTTATACAATGCTATATAACACTTTTCTGAACACAAATGTACTAAATTAACCTTATTTATGATCGCTTTCAATGTCCTAGTATACTATCAAACTGTTATACAATGGGTAGAAGAGTTTTTGTAACAAACCAAAATCGGGCTATTTAAAATAAATTTGTGAATAAAAAATATATTAAAATACAGGAAACTTTAACAACTGGAATTGACTGCAATAAACTGTTACTGGTCATGGATATGTTTGAAAAATAAATTAAAAATAAAAATCGAAAAATCGCCAAAGCCATAAAATAAATTTTAAATGCTTTCCTGGAAGTTATCTGGTATCAGCACAGTTAAGGTTGAGTATTCTTAAATTATATGTTTAAATACGATATTGAAAAATATCCAACAGTTGAGTTGGTGTTTTGAAACCGCAAAAAACTTGTAATGGCAGTATATTTTCTTATAATATACCAAAGTCGAGGTAATTTACAAATACTTAAATAAGTAAATAAAATTGTATAACATCTTCAACTATATTAGAACAATATAACACTTTTGAAACTGTTATACAAAAACAAATTACTGTATTTTATGAAATCAAAAGACTTTTTAAGTGAAAAAAATGTATTTTAAGAGTTCTCTACGACCTCTAAAAAGTGTTATATCAGTTATTTGCTGTCGTATCATATCGAAATGTTCAGCAGGTATATCCCAAATTGTTGAATTTTAAGATTTACTTTTACTTTATAAAACTTTAAAGTGTTATATTGTGACCCATTTTATTTAATCGACTAGGGATATGGTCATAGATAATTTCTGATATACCATTATCAAACTGTTATAATATGTTATATTATACCTTGCCAAGGTATAAATCCTTACAGAGCACCAATAGCTATAGCTTCCCTTAGTTAAACACATTTCGAAAACTGTTGCAATGACAACTGATGCAATAAAATCCAACTTTTGCTATATTTTTTCAATGTGTATAACACTTTCAAACTGTTATACTGACAAATTTTTTAGCTCCCTAAGCTATAACACTCTGCAAAGCACCATTTCCAACTGTTTTTCTGGCGTATAACAGTTTCTGCAAACTGTTATACAAGTGTATAACAGTTTTTTCATAACTTCCATACATGTAAATATAACGATTTACATTGTTTTGTTACATTTTTTGTAATATAACTTAAAATTATATAAACATTTTTAAGATGTTATTTCGTCTTTTTCCACCACATTTTTTTCGGGGGAAGAAGTTCGGGGATTTCGTAAAGCAGGACCATTTGAGTATGACAGTGTTAAAAAAATGAAAACCAAAATCAAACATTCTAAGTTTAGCTTTCCAACATGTAAATCTGTTATACAGACATTGTATGGTATGGAAACTAATTGGTATAGTTGTCGAATGAACCCAAATACTCCAATGCAGCACGATAACAAAAATGATATTGATCCTGAAATTAAGGAAAATTAGTAAAAATTATTTTAAAAAAATATTTCGAGAACTTACCTCTGTTTGCACCATGGCTGGTCGTTGAGCTCGCAGAATGCGCACAGTTTGAAATACATCTAAAACACCTTCATATTGCATGCGCTCTAGGACAATACTGAGGGTAATAAACACCCCGGTGCGACCAACTCCAGCACTACAGTGCACGGTAATGGGCCCATCTTGACCAAACTGCTCCTTGGTCTTGTGTACCTGGCCAATGAAGTCGATGAAGCCCTCTCCGGACTTGGGTACACCCTGTTCGGGCCAATCGATGAACTGGAATTGGCGTACAGTGCGGGAAGAGCCATCACGGGCATCGGTGACCTAAGAAGAGGGAAAGTGAGAATTACTAAAAGGGGATCTATTGAAAAAAATATAAAAACCTACCTTAAATTCCCTTAGCTTATACTGCGGCATATTATATTCCGCAATGGGATCCACCACATAGTACTGATAGCGCACGGAACGCTCATGGGGCCAGTATTGATAACATTTTTCCTATAAAAGTCCAAAATTGTGAGTATAACAGTTTCCATTTTTTTAAGAAACAGGCCACTTACCCTTCCCATTTCCTTGAGTTTGGTCAACATAACCACAATCGTCGAATTATGCTCCCACAACATTCTCCAAAAGTCCTCGGCCGTATCCTGCAATGGTCCCTGGGCCGCAATATAGGCCGAACGATAACGATAACCCTCAATAAAACTGGCATTGATGTAATCGCTACCCTCCACTCCATGTATGGGTGTCAAATAGACCCTCGAAGATTCATAGGGCAAAATGTGGACCAGACGATTTTTATGCTTGTTACAGGGCAAGTTGGCGGTGACAAATTTCGACGAATCCACCTTGACATTGGAGAGTTTCTTAAATTCAATTTCCATGCCAGTAATGCTCTCCCCCGGTTCTGTGGTCAACAGCTTCTGCAAATGGGTGTGCAAATTGCGGGCCGGTACCTCAGTGTTGCCACAAATTATGGCCTCCAGTATGGCATCGTGTATGAAAATGTACTGATCCTCGGTTTGGACCATGTAATTGCGCTGGGCCCTCAGACAGGTGACATGGCCATAGATGTCCACAATCTTCTCATGTTTCATGCGTTCCAACATAGAGTCAATGACAATATAACATCCAGTACGACCCACTCCAGCAGAGCAGTGGACCACAATAGGGCCAGAATCGGGTGGTGTGAGGGCTCGGCATCTACGCAAGAATTGCAAGAATGGAGCCGGATGATCGGGAACACCATGATCTGGCCAGGCGGTAAATTGCAACTGCTTGAGCTCACGACGTTCATTGAATCCTTGACGGCACAACTGGAAGGTCCTGATACTGTAGGTGGCCAATTCCTGCGTCTCCGTAATGGTCACAAACATTTGTCCATATGTCTCAGTGCCTCGCGTGGGCCAATATTGATCACACTTGATGCGGGTCCTCTCCTCCAGTCGGGTCATCATAACAATGGTCGTGGTCTTCAGTTCCCAACACATGCGCCAGAAATCCGATATGGTATCCTGCAGGGGGCCCTGTGTTGCCACATAGGCATTATGCTTGCGATAGCCATCACAATAATTGGCATTGATGTAGTCAGAGCCTACCACTCCATCCATGAGCGGCAGAATAACCCTCGAGTGGTCATAGGCCGTAACATTGGCATAACGATTCTTGGGCTTATTGTATTCATAGTTGGAATTGTCCCAGGTAAATTGTTGACCCGGTTCAATGCTTTCGTATTCCTGAGAGAATTTCTGATTGTCATTCGCCTTGAGGCGTTCCACATGATTGGAAAATTCCGATATGGGTATGGGAGGATGGGAAATCATGCCAGGGGTTTGGAAGTTTAGGCGGCGCATATCCACTGGATCGCTGGGTGTGGGTCCGGCACCTAAATCGGCGGCCATCAAGGGCCTTGTGACAGCTGCCTGATCGGGGGTCTTACAGGGTTGCCGCCTCCTCTTAATAATGTAAATAATAATGAAGGTTGTCGACAAAATCAGGGCAGCCAAAACGGGCAGAATAACCCACATCATGCCGGGCTCATCCTTGTTACGATTCACAGACACCTCTGGCTCCGAGGGCCAATTGGGATCTGGACGATGTGGCCTTTCACCGGGCGGAGCCTCACGCATATCCAGCGAAAGGAATTCCGAAAATGGACTGGAGGTATACAAATGCTTTTGCGGCGTATCCACCACAGCTCTCACGAAGATTCTATAACGTTTCTCCCGCTCCAGTTTGCGATTGGTGAAATTGTGATAATCATCTCCCGAACCCAGGTGGAAGGTGAAAGGTATTGATCTCTGGGGAAACTTGGCCGCAATATAAGGAGCATTGGGTCTTTCTGGCTTATTTCTACCCGGCAGCAGATCTTCGGTCAAAAATTGATCAGGATTTTTGTGTAAATTCGATTTATCCTCTGGGACCACCACCAAATAGTAATGGGATATGGGACCATATTCCTCGGAAGCTTGGGGTAGGATGACCAAAATTTCCTCACCATTTACCACACCATAGAAATCCGGCTTGACCATGGGCTGAGGGGCAGCCATTTGGGTGGTGACGGTAATTTTGGTGGGCGGACGATATGAATAATCACTGGGCATGGCACTGACATTAACATTGTAGGTGGTAAAGGGGCTCAGCTCATTGATGGTATGACTCTTGGCATAGGCCTTCAGGATGATTTCCCGTTTCTGGACAATTTGGGTTTGTGAGAAGCCTTGCGAATCCACAAACACTTTCATGGCATCATAGGAGATTTTATAGCTCACCGGATTTAGTCGAATGGGAGGTGACCAGCTCAGAGTCATGGAGTGGGTGGTGACATCATGGGCCCTCAGGTTCAGTGGTACATCTTCCGGCTTTATTTTCACATGGACCTTTTCACTCAAACGTCCCAGGCCCGATTGGAATCTCGCTGCAATGGCCACAGTGTATTGGGCAAACTTTTCCAAGTTCACCAGATCCGCAGACTCGGTAAGGCCCACAGTTTTACTTTGCCATTCGTCCAGATCATCCACTGCAGCCATGGTATAGAAAATCTTGTAGCCCAATAATTTCCCACGAGTGGGCACCGGTTCCCACCAAATCTCCGCGGTTTGTTCCGATGTTGCCACAGCCTGTACAGACATGGGGGCACGACCCATATCCCTTTCAGTTTCTATCAAAATCTTTTCACTAAATGGACCACCACCCTGTTTGGTGTAGGCACGTATACGGAAGATATATTCTGTGTTCTCCTCCAAATTGGTAAACACCACCTTATTTAGGGTCATATTCCTTTCCGAACCCAGGCCATGATCGATTTTCTTGTGGAATTGGACATCGTAACGTGTTATAATGCCATTGCGATGTTCACGGGTTGGTGGCTCCCAGGTCACGCACACAACGTCGGGAGTTTGGAAGCGTATGGTAATATTGGAGGGTGGGCCACTGGGTGCTCCCTCAGGGGTTTGGAAGATTTTCACTGTTTCTTGGCCAATGCCAATGTGATTGCTGCCCGCCACACGGAATTCATACTCTACACCACGTTCCAAATCCTTGAAAGGTTTCTTGGTTTCGTGAGGTCCCATCAGCAATTCCTTGAGAGGATGATCTTTGATACCCCATTTTAGGCGATAACCACGCAGTTCGCCATAGGTTTGGGCAGGCCTTTCCCATTCCAGTTCAATTGAAACCGTGGGATCACGTTCCATGATTTTCAAACTGACGGTTGGTCGTACGGGTACCCCACCGGGGGTTTTGACAATAACCGCAGGACTGCGATCGCCATCACCCTTACGCGTCAAGGCGGCAACTTGTATGGAGTACTTGGTGTCGGGTTGCAGATCGGTGACATTGTATTCCAAGGCATCGACAACATCGTATTTTAGGGGCTCGTTTAAGAAACCCTTGCCCTGGAGAAGGAGGAGAGAAGGGGGAAAATAGAGAGAAAAATTTAGGTTAGAATGAAATTTAAAAATTTTAAAAATATTATAGCTCTCCCTTACCTCATCTCGGACTTCCTGTACATGTATGTGATAGCCTCGAATAATACCATTACGATCTTTCTCTAGCGGCGGTTTCCAGCTGACATGAATTGATGTTGAATTTAACGGAGTAGCCTTAACTTCTTGAGGATCTCCAGGCACTAAACGAGGGGAATAAGGAAATATATATTAGTATGCAAATAAAAACAAAATCAATCATGACAATTTTTACACATATAACGAATATATAATTATTTACGATATACTTCATACAAATAATACTTATACGCTTAAGTCGATAAATGGGGGCCCTGTTAGGTCTACAGAGATGGGTGTCTAAATATGGGCTTAGGTTATGTTTAAAAACTATTTTTTTTTAAGATATAAATATTTTATTTTTTATTTTTTTTTGTTTTATTTATATAATACTTATTTATATATTTTTTGTATATAATATATAGCAATTAAAACATTATCACATGGCATTAGAATAAAAAAAAAATAATAAAAATTTTATGAAAAAATTGTAAATTGGTGCAAATTTTGTTTTTTCTTTTTTGCTTTCAATATTTTGTTCAAAAATCAAAATTGGTTTCGTGATAAATAAAAAAACATTCCAAAAAAACTTTTTTTATGTTGTGCACAAAAATTAGTGAGCAAAAATATTTTTTATATTTTTTTGGTTCTAAGAAAAAAATAAAATTCCTTGGTTTTTTATTAGAAATGTTTATAAAGATGGGAGTAGATAAAAAGAGAAAGTATTTGATATATTTTTTTGTATTTATAAAAATATGTTCAAAAATAAATACATATTTTTTTTAAATATATATCAGGAAATATTATTAATAGTTTTATCGCTAGAAAATTATTATTATCTAAAATTGAAATAAAAATTAGAAAAAAATGTGGTGATGGTGTGATGTTTTCAAATTAAAAATAATATATGTGGTCGTAGTAGTCCTGGCAAAAAGAATATAACAAGGAACCCCAGGTTATTTGTCCCATAAAAAAATGGAAAATTCACAATAACTAGCCTCATAGTTCGCAAACAAATTCTTAAACCTCCTAAAAAATCGCGGCTATTGCATAGATGCTCCGTTCATTAATTAATTCGCCCTTCAAAATGTTATTAAAAAAGGGTTTATTAATTAATTCGTTCATCAAAAGATTCTTTTAAACGTCCAATTTGTTAATAAAGGCGTCTTTCAAAATATGTATATTTTTTAAAAAAGTCCACGTTTATTAATGACTTCGTCCTTCATTTCCAAGTTTTTTAATTAATTTGTCCCTCAAAATAATTTATTTTTAAAAAGTCCAATAGACGTGGAGGACTTCGTCCTTCAAAATATTTTTTTTAAATCGACGTGTTTGCAATTACTTCGTCCTTCTATTAATGACTTCGTCCTTTAAAGGATTCTTTTAAAAAATCCACGTATATTAATGAATTCGTCCTTCAAAGGATTCTTTTAAAAAATCCACGTCTATTAATGACTTCGTCCTTCAAAGGATTCTTTTAAAAAAATCCACGTATATTAATGACTTTGTCTTTCAAAGGATTCTTTTAAAAAATCCACGTCTATTAATGACTTCGTCCTTCAAAGGATTCTATTAGAAAATCCACGTCTATTAATGGCTTCGTCATTCAAAGGATTCTATTAAAAAATCCACGTTTGTTAAAGAATTCGTCCTTCAAAGGATTCTTTTAAAAATCCACGTCTATTAATGACTTCGTCCTTCAAAGGATTCTTTTAAAAATCCATGTCTATTAATGACTCCGTCCTTCAAAGGATTCTTTTAAAAATCCATGTCTGTTAATGACTTCGTCCTTCAAAGGATTCTTTTAAAAATCCACGTTTATTACTGACTTCGTCCTTCAAAGGATTCTTTTAAAAATCCACGTATATTAATGACTTCGTCCTTGAAAAATCTCTTTAAAAACCTATGATTCGTCCTTAAATAATTTTTACGAAATTGACGATTGATCCTTAGAAAAATTTTGAGAAATCCATGATTGGCTCATAGATATATTTTAAAGAAATAAACGATAGGTCTTTACAAGATTTTAAAAATTCTAGGATCGGTTTTTCGTCTTTGGAAAAATATTTTTATAAAAAATCCAGGATTGGTCCTTCGTCCTTGAAAAATATTTTTAAAAAATCCAGGAAAAAAATCCTTAAAATAAATATAACCAACGATCCGTCCTCAAAAAAAAATTTAAGAAATCGACGATTGATTCTTAAAAATATTTTAAAGAAATAAACGATTACAAAAATGCAGATTTGGTTTCGTCCTCAAAAAAATATTTAAAAAAATCTAGGATTTTCCTTCGTTCTAAAAAATATTTTAAAAATCAAGGATTATTTTAAAAAATCCGGAATTGCTCTTTCGTTCTAGAAAAAATATTTTAAAAAAATCCCGGATTGGTCCTTTACTCTTTAAAAATATTTTTAAAGAATCCAGGGCTGGTCCTCGTCCTTGAAAAAAAAAATTCAAAAACCAACAATTCGTCCTTAAAAAATTTTCAAAAATCGCTTGGTTCTTAGAAATATTTCAAAGAAATTAACGATTGGTCCTTACAAATATTTGTCAAGTAATTGGGTCCCTACAAATATCTTTAGGAAATCCACCATTGGTCTGTAAAAATATATTTTAGAAATATCCAGAATTGGTCCTTCGTCCTTAAAAAATATTTTTTTTTTAAATTAAGGAATGGTCCTTCGTTTTCGAAAAAATATTTTTTTTAAATTCAGGATTGGTCCTTTGTTCTTGAAAAAATAATTTTTAAAAATCCAGGATTGGTCTTTCGTTTTTGAAAAAATATTTTTTAAAAATTCAGGATTGATCCTTCGTTCTTGAAAAAAATATACGTTTGTTGATAAAGAGAAATATTTTTAAGAAGTCTACGTTTGTGGATAGTCCTTGAACAATTATTTTTAAGAAGTCTACGTTTGAGGATGATCCTTATAAACATATATTTTTAAAATAATCTAAGTTTGTGGATAGTCCTTGGAAAATTATTTTTTAATAAGTCTACGTTTGTGGATGATCCTTAAAAACATATATTTTTAGAAAAATCTAAGTTTGTGGATGGTCCTTAAAAAATCTTTTTTTAAAAAATAAACGTTTGTGGAAGGCCGCTAAAAAAATATTTTTAAAAAATGTTCGTTTGTGGATAATGCTTGAAAAAATATTTTTAAAAAATCCACTTTTGTGGATAGTCCTTAAAAAAATATTTTAATAAAATATTTTAAAAAAATCTACATTTGTCGATAGTCCTTGAAAAAATATTTTAAAAAAATCCACATTTGTGGAAAGTCCTTTGAAAAATATTTTTAAAAAATCAACGTTTTTTGAAGGTCTATGAAAATATTTTAAAAGAATCTACGTTTGTGGATAGTCCTGGAAAAAATTATTTTTAAAAAATCCACTTTTGAGGATACTCCTTTAAAAAGTATTATGGAAATCCTTGTTTATTGATCTGTTAGTCCTTAAAAATATTTTAAAAAATTGCGTTTAAAGGTCTGTGGGTCCTTCAAATATTAAATAAAAAATTCTCGACTATTGAGGATTTTCGGTGTATTTCAAAAAATTCCGAAAAATATTCAGGATGACTTTTTTGACTGTTTCGTGTATTAATCTGAGGAAATAAAAAAAAAAATATATAATTTTTTTTTTATTTTAAATTAAAAAAAATTAAAACATTCCATTTAAAAACTTTCTTTTCTAAAAATTCATTTTTTTATTCACTCCAAAAAAATACTCACTGTTTTTCTCTACGATTTTTGATATTATGCATTCATTGTTATATTAATATTTCATTTTTTGTTGGTGTAATTTTCAAAAATATATATGTATGTATTATTCGCACACACACATTTTCATATCATCATCCATAACAATAACACAGTGTGACACATGTGAGTGAATTTTAAAATATTTATTTTTTTGTTTTTGTTTTTGGTGGTGCCCAGGTGCAGGTGGTGCAGAACAAAATTTGTTTCCAAAAATTATACATCCATTTTCAAAACATTCAACAACAGACACGCACACACACCCAAAATTCAAAAAAATCGTGTGAATTTGTTGGTCGTTGAGGAATTTGTGCAAAAAAACACATTCGATGCGAGTGGCCAGAAAAAAAACAAAGGAGGAATAGATGAAAAAAAAAGAACAAATATATTTTTTGGGTTTTGATTAATTATTTCACAAAAGTTTTTTATTTTTTGATAACAAAACGGTGGGGGAGGGATAGGGGGGTTTTAATAGATACACAGAGGGTGAAATGAGGAGGTGCTAATCTACTTGGAAAAAAGTTAAATTAAAAACTCGCTCAAAAACATGTTGGCTCACTCGAAAAAATTTGTGGAGATTAAAACGAAAATTAATTAAAATAAAAATTATTAGTTTTGAAACCAAGCACAAAATATTGAATTAATTGGCATCCGTGGTAGTTTTCATATTTTTTAGGGTAACATGTTGGCTAATATTTGTTATAAAAAATTCGGTCTTATTTCTAACTTAATATCCAAGCATTTAATTATTATAAATTATTTTAGAAATTAATAGTACTTATACTTGGTTGTAATAATTTAAGAATTTCTATAGCTTATATAGAAAATATATAATTTCCAATTTTCCATTTTCCCACTCAAATCCCTTTTCATTATCCTTCAAGTAAAGCACTTTCCACTTAAATAAGACATCGCAAATGCGAGGCGTATAATTAACGTCAATGAGCATACGCCCTCTGGGCACAATTTATAATAATTATACGTTACCTTAGCCCTTAAGGGAAGAAATAATTATTCAATTTTCGAAAATATTTTTTATTTGGAATTATCTTAAAGCAGCCCTCAATGATTTAATTTCCAAAACTTTGTGATATGAAATTTCTAAAAATTTGCTTTTTCCTTCTCATTACCTTATTTTATTTATAATTAAAAATTAATTATAATCTAACTACGAGGAAAAAAAACTTTCCTCAAAATATTAAACAAGGAAAAGGGCAAATGTCGTATTGAAAGAAATTGTATGAAACATGAAAATGTATATCTCTCTACCTTTATACAGTATTTTTTAATACTTAGAAGAAAATTTATAATAAAAAGGGGGTTAGGGGGTTTTAGCTTATGTGTGGTTTTAGTTTTTTTGTAATTTTAAT